AAAACGTATAGAAAATGAGTACTGGAAAAGGGAAATATGAGAATTTTAGTTTTATTATAAATACTGGTAATAAGAAGAGTATTTTTATTTGAAACTAGCTGAGCCAACGAACTTCGTACCGCCATAAAAGTAGGGGCAGGTGGTAGAAAAGAAAATTTAGGGTTGTATGATTTTTTTAAGACCTCATTATAAATATTGTCAAAAAAATTTTTTAGGGGTGTGTAACGTAGTGTTCTATCAATTTCCTGGGTTAAAATTTCTCCTAACCCATATGAGAACACTACGTTACAATACCTAATCGTTTGAATTTTCAGAACACTACGTTACAACCATTATCACCTAGGGATATGAAAAATAGATTGTAGCTGATTATGCATATAACATTTCATAAAATTCAGTATGGTAACTGACATTGTGACACGAGAATTTTATAAACTTATAAGATAAAGTTGTCGTTTTAAAATCTACAATAATCGATATTTTATTTTATAGCCGAAAGCAGCAGTGATAATGATGAATACTCCGACAGTAGTGCAGAGATGGGTTTAATAAAGAGCTAAATTCTGATATTTTTTTTTCTCACTCAGTCATAATAAATAAATATTATTAAAAATCAGATATTTTTATTTCTTGCTCAATCTACCTCCATTATCGAAAAATGAAAGATATGAACCATTATCGAATTCGAATAGTTTCTGAGTCCGAAATGTCATTATCATATTTTGTATGGAAACTTGAACAGCAGCGCTAAAGCGGACTTAAGGAGAACTAAAAATCAGTACATATTTGACAAAGACATTTCGTACTCGCAAACGTTACGAATTCGATATTGGTTCGTGCTAAGGGTACAGAACGCTTAAAAGCCGAACTGAAAGTGAAATTAAATAATTTCAATAAATAATGGACAATATTAAATATCTATTTTTTAAAAGTGGTAGGGCATAGCGGATATCTCTATCGAATTGGAGCGCCTGTCTGGGGAAGTAACCTTTACCTTACAGAAGAACACAGTAAAATAATACTAACTTTTGTTGGTGTTGTGTTTCTGTCGATGAGTAAAGTTCAAGGGCTCCACGGGGTAGGGGTTTGGGCTGACTCAACAAAAAAATACACTCGCGCTATTGCCTGGGTAATATCGCCAGCGTCTACAGGCTATGGTGGCAGCTTACTTTCAAGGGGGCCACATGCTTGTTTGCCACCCTTTTAATATAAAAAAAATGGGTGCGTGTACTTATGTAGGCGCGTGAGAAGTTATCCTCTTTGGCATAGTTTAAAATTAGTTTTTAATTGCATGCAAATAATTAATTACAATAAATTAATAAAAAGTCTGGAAAAGGACACAGTCAATAAAGTTCAGTTTTAATTTGAAAAAATATTAAATAATCAAAATATTCAATTGAAATCGCTACTGAATATAATTTATTAGAACATATGTGATTTGCACTTGTATGAAACTCAAACACGTATTCCGAACATACAAACTAGAAACGTGGATAAATATTATAAATATGAATACCTATAACTGTTACTTTATTACAAAAAATAAAGATGTGGTTTTTGGTTGTACTACACCAATGGTCAAGAGATGGCGCTGTAGTCTCCTGAATCGCGCTTTGGTTCCGTTGTTCCAGATTAATAAATACTTTTGATAGGCCTTCACAATGCAGTCGTTAGCACCCACTAAATAGAGATTCTATTTCTATTTTGTTGGTAGATTTTCTTATTGTGCGGTAAACACAAAGCGACCAACTTCATGCTGATAAAATTTTGTGTTACAGTGATGCGCGCGCATCTTAAAATTTCACTCTCATCATTTTTTCATAACGCGCCTAAAGAAGTATAACTTCAAAAATACATATTTAAACAAAAATTTTTTTTTTCAGATTCAACTTTTCCAAAATATTTTTACATCCTCTTAAAGTCCTTCGAATTGCGCGTCTTTTGAGCCTTCATACGTTCTCGTGGCCGTAAACCTCGGGGTATCACGGGCGAGTCGCACTTTCAGCGAAAATGGGGGTCTACTGGAGCGAAGATTGTGGTGTTTAATGAGTAGGTACATCTAAGTTTATCATGATATCGCGTCGCGACTTTGACCCAGCAACCGCAAGAGATACCGATGTGATCGATGTCTTATATGTGTTAAACGTTACTAGAATAGATAATAAATATAACAAATTTTCCAGTTTGTTAGTTATCCTCGTTTTTTGACCCTTAAGGAATTTACATAAAAAAATTCACTTACGTAACTTTTAACAAAATAACATTATATTTCTTTCTTAGGTTTTCACGCAAAGCACTCATTAAATAAACAAGTTTCAGCGGTATAGATGCACCGATTTAGTAGTGTAATTTAAGTAACAAAATAACATTACTCGAAATAAAAACACGCGGGCCCAGTATTTCTTATGCTGCAAGGCAGCGCCATCTCTTCGCATTGTAGGTAACCCACAATGTCAAATGAATACCTTTACAAGTATTAAACATTTGAAAGAAGAAATAGCAATTACAGTTATGTTTGTTTTTATTCGTGCGTTACCTGCCCTGGTCTCATCCCCTACCTCGTGTAACCATGGAAACCTTAATCACCCACAGAAACAAAATTACCAAAAGGTAGTATTATTCACAGAAAACATATAGGTAGCTATATTTTTCTATTTTTTAAAGCATTTAACTGCTAGATGTTTAAATCTAAAGAAAATTTTACAAGAAAAAAAATTCCACGCGGACAAGGTAATAATGCATAATGAATGGTCGGTGCGGGTTCGAGTCTCGCCTGCTGCCTGGTTTGCGTCGAAATTTTTCTAGTAAAATTTTCTTTATATAGGTAGCTAGTCTTAATATTTCCCTGAATTTCTAAAAGTTAGAAGTAAGTTCAAGTAATTTTCTAGATAGGGTTCTCTAATTTTAGCAGCTTACATTACATTGAAGTGCTGTATGATTGATATGTTGATATTTATGTTCAAATTTATTTCAAAAGAAATTCATAGTTCTTTGGAACGGGTCTGGAAGAAATGTTGTTCTTCTTCTCTTCATTTTCTTGTTCCCTTATATTAAACTACCGCATACAATAGGCGAGTTCTTATGGTTTGCGAGCGATCAAGCAAAGTGCATTTGTAATAGGTAACTATGTGCATAATTAATATTTTGAATATAACGATATAACTAATTTTCAAACGAGAAGTATTTATTTCAAAACTTCATCTTTTTATTTGGAAATGAAAGATATTTTTGTATAAAAGTTATATAACTTCCATAACAATTTTATCTTAAATGAACTTGCCGATGGAATTCGGTTAAACGTCTAATGGTGCAATTACATTCGGTCGTTAGTCCGTATTTGGGTTCACAAAAGACATTTCTCAAATTCGGACACCCGAAAAAGTATACACATCGAATGCACCCGCTGCTATCTGTGCTTGACGGGGAAAAAAGTTCAGACACGGCTATGAATTAGCACCGAATCATAGGTAAGCACAGTGGCGGACTAACAGGGGGGCGGAAGGGGCGGCCCGCCTCCGATCTTGGGGGGCCCCCAAATGTCTCCGAATTCCCCTGATCAGAACGTAAACATAACTTTAAAAATGTTAAGAAAATATAACTTGAAAAAATTCCATGCAGACCAGGCAGCAGACGGGACTCGAACCCGCACCCTTCGCAATTCGGACGACAGCACTGATCAATTATGCTACCGCGGCCAGAGTTCGGTAAATTGAAGGCACGAAAACACATATAAACGCTACCAAAAATTTAAAAAAAATCTTTGATTTAGTTTACTATTTTTTTTGTCGATGATTCGTATTTGATTTTCCTACCCATAGCCATTCCATATTGTAGGTATGTATGGTTTTTTGCCGAAATAATTTAATTCTTATTTAAATTTCACTTGCCAGATTTAACGAAATAAACATAGTAAACTATTTAAATCTAAAGAAAAGTTTACTAGAAAAAATAGTAAACTATTTTTTTTTAAAGCTGGGGGCCTCATTCTGCTTTGCCGCCCCGGGCCTCCGATTGGCTTAGTCCGCCACTGGGTAAGCGCGATTATGGCATGATTCTCTAAATCTCAAATTAAATTTGACAACTTTGTACCCTTGTCATGCTCTTTACAAAATGAAAGAGGGAGACTGTTTTGTTAAATTTTGTTTTAGGCAATATCTGTTTTTAGTGCTTTAAGTATGAGAACGATTACGAAGTAGGTACCACACTGCCGCGATAATAACGACACAATAGAGTATGACGAAATATCGCAATATTGCATCCTCTACCGATAAAAACGAGCTTACGGGCGGGAGGAAGTTAAGAGAAGCCTGCCAGAACCAGTCCCATAAAGTTTTTGTAATGAAATCTAAGATTAGGCGTTATCAGTATATATTATTGTGGAGCCATTTTTGAACTGTTGCATACACAAAAGCTTAGAGTTAGTTAAAAAAATAGTTCTGAGGTGTTGTATTGACCCTGTGTGAGGCTAATGCCACGCCAAAAATACCAAGCTTAGACCATTACTTGGGATATAAGGGACCTTAGCGATCCTTTCTAAAAAGAAGATTTTTCCTTATTTGGCATTAACTCTTGTTCAATTAGATCCTTACAAAAAATTCTTATGAAGGAAATTTTGACTTATAATTAATAATCTGTCATAAAATTAATAAGAAAGGTATATAGCCTCACAATAATTAATATCTATAATATACCGAAATATTAGAAGTATAGTTCTTATATAATAATTAAAAATTAGATCCTTTCTACATTTATATGAACTAGCATGTTCTTTATAATGATTTATTTATTTTAAACTTTATTGACCAAAATATATATCAATGGTGCAAAAGGCGGACTTAATGCCTTATAAAAGCATTTTCTCCCAGTCAACCTTTGGGAAAAATGAAATACACGAACGGCGGCGAATTATAATTATGACATAATAGTTAACATTATTTTTATTTACTTCTGAAGTCAGGTAATTACTGAAAATATCATTCGCTCAATAACAATTTACGAACATGATTTAAAATTTTCATTATAAAAGTATTGATCTATATAATTTATAAGATCACTCCTTCAAATTACAACTCCTATGCTTCTGTTCACAGATGTCGCTTCTTTTGTTAATTTCTTCCGCGGTCGGTAGATGGCGGTACATTGAATCTGCGCCGCGAACTTTCTTAAAATCTTCCATTTTCTCTGTTCCGAATACAGCCACTTGCATTTTGTGAACAAAAGGCGATATTTTACAAGCTAACAATCTTATGCAACTGGTTTCTTCTTCATCTCCTTGATTTTTAATAAGATCCTCAATGTCGTCGATTAAGCTGTCGTTCCTTGCTTCGGATATGATATCTTGCAGTACTCTCGACCTCTTGTTTAGGATCCAGGCAGTCGGGTCCTCTGATCTATATGGTCGGCTTGGTCGTTTGGTCCCAGCTAAGAATGTTGAGATCTGGAATTTACAAATTACCACAATTACAAAACTGAGACCAAATTTTTAACATTTTAATGATTCTAAACGTGTGGAAGAACACAAGTTTTAAGAAAATTAGGAAAATAATATCTAAACATCCAGACCAGACTCAAAATGCAATGTTCCAGAAGTGCTGAAATGCTTAGTAATACGTATACTTGAGAGCTTAAGAGGGGCATAGCTGATTCTGAATTGGAGCGCCTAGGAAAGTAACCTTCACCTCTTTTAATACATCACAGTAAACCTTTTGGTAGTGTTGTGTTTCTGTCGCTAAGTATGGTTCCAAGACTCCACGAGGTAGAAGATTCAGTGACCTCTTTGACCTATTGGAGGCCCTGGGAATATTAGGATAATGTGGCCCCTATGACCCCAGTTTGGTGATCTAACAGGAGCTAAGGACTTTGTATTTGATCTGAAGTGGCCCCCTATCGATCGCGGGGCCCTGGACACTTGCCCAAAGTGCCCACTGGGAAAGAAGGGTCTGAGGAGATTGGGTCAGGGTCAGTGCCTTCTTTGACCTATTGGAGGCCCTGGGCATATTAGGATAATGGGGCCCGTATGACTTCCGTTTGGTGATTTAACAGGAACTAGAGACTTTGTATTTGATCTGAGGGGGCCCCCTATCGATCGCGGGGCCCTGGGCTCTTGCCCAAAGTGCCCACTGGGAAAGAGGGGTCTGAGGATATTGGGTCAGCGTAGGCAACGGCGTGAGTCATATTTTTGGTATCGCAAGCATCTATAGGCTATGACCGCTTACCATCAGACGGACCTTACGCTTATTTGCCACGCTTTTAACATAATAAATATGATAGCAAAATAATTTCCATCCTTAAGGCCCACTTGCAGCAACTTCGCTTAATCTTAATTTAACTAAAGTAGGCTTAACCCCTAAGATTATAACAAAGCTCCTCGCTTTACTTGTTTTATGTTTGTGTTGTCCTGGATGTGACGTTTTTCTTTACAGGTCTTACAGGCTTATAAAATAACCAAAATTCTGATTTTTAACTGTCATTCCCTTACGTGTAATGGCTGATCACTTGACATTGGCTGAGCTGTGATAAGTCACAACGCAAGCCATCATAAAATAAGAAGAAGAAGGCTTAACCCATAGAAAAATGTCAAAACGACAATGTCAATTTGACATTATTTTATGGGCTAAATGTGGTGTTAGTTAAATTGGGATTTAGCAAAATTGCTGCAAGTAGACCTAAATCACTAGCCGATTAACTAATCGGATCATATAGGTATAATATATCGAGATATAGTTCACCACCAATATAAGCCAAGGTTAATACCAACCATCTGTGCTACAAACACCAAAGCGTTCACTGCTACGGCGCTGATCTGATTCGGCTGAAGTCCAAAGAGTCTCACTAAGTACTTTAAAGGCGTCATTGGATTCGGGGCCTCATTGATATTGTAATTAGGTCGATTATCTAATGTAATTTCTTCACTGTCCTCGCTCGAATACTCTGCGTTTTGAGATGAGGGGTGGCGCCTGTCGGCAGAAGAGGGAGGTTTAGCGGCTGTCTGGAAAGCTTTTACCACGAATTCTGCCACTTTTGATGCCACCGATTCAGTACCTGAAATTTTCAATCAACATATTTTTGAATACATAATGTATTTGCTCCTGGAAAATATAACTTTTTAGTGTTGTGAAGCTTCTTTCGCTAGATCTATTTCTTCACCACCTAAAAGAAGTCCGTTACTGGTGGTATGAAGAAAATAGTTGATTAGTACTTCCAATTTGATTGTTTTTGAAATATAGTCGTTATCTCTTTTGGCATTGGCAGAGCTTTAAACGAATGAGAATAAACTGTGGGTATGTAATGCTTTACTTATTATAAGCTTAGGTAGCTCTTAAATATTTTTCCCTTTTTAGAGCAAATTCTAAGATTTTTCCTAACATAGTTCAGAACAATATTAACCTGTCAAAAAGAAATGTATTAATTTTTATTCGAACTAGTGTCATTTACAAAGGATGCGACAGTATGACATATAATATGCTTTTGTATGAATGTAACTGCTATGAAATAATTAGTCACATCTTGGCGTCCGAATTGTTATATCTGGCAGTGTTAAGGTTTAAGATATTGGACAAAAAATATTTTTTTCGTGACAAAAGGGTTAGGGGTTGCGTAGTGCGTATAATTTGTAATAGTATGGGAAAGTAACTAAAAAAATATACTACGGAAAGATTATTATACCTAGTTGGCACTTTTTATACTCCCATTTATATACGAACATCAATCCTAAAATAAATTAGTGGAAAAAACATTTAAGTGTGGATTTTTTTTATACTTTATAGTTAGTATATTAATTGAACTAGTTCTTTTGAAACATTGAAAATTTTCAACATATTATGAACATTTCTTAGCAAATCAGTAAATACTGAATATAAAGATACAGAGAAAGTTTATTTTATTTTCCTTTGTAACTAACTAGGTTTATACTTTTATAATCATGTTATTTAAATTTTACTTACCAAGAATATCAGTGGCAAACTTCATTCCGTTATTCAAATGATCAATAAATCCGTCTCTCCCATACTTTTCACTGGTTACAAACGTCGAGGAGACGATTAGAATCACGAACACTGGTAACGCCATCTCGTGACTGCCGTGCACAACACAATGAGATGTCACCGCACCGGGTACTGCGCTCCGCTTAACGAGATAATGGCGCATGCGCCGCTCGAGGGCACATCTTCGAAACTAATTTTCTTTCACGTAACATACAGGTGGTTTCAAACGAAATTAGAAATTTATTTTATATGTTTTGTTAAAGTAAGCGTTAGCCTTGTATTAAGTGATGGAGTGGACTATCGATTAAAATAAAAGCTCGTTTGTCGGACACATATTTCGGTAGATGGCGTTACTAGTATCTAGCTTATAGAAAATGTGCTTTCAGTAAAATTGGTAATGGAAGTCAAACTCGGTAACTTCCCCCTTCTCAGTGGTCGTTATCCAGTTTCCCGATTACTCCCGATGACTTACAAGCCCTTATGACCTGAGGTATTCCCCTACGGTTGACGACCTCCGAGGCCAAGTGGTTTGTACGCCGGGTTTCATGGTGTCACCGACTCGAGAGGTCCCGGGTTCGAATATTGGTGGGGGCAGATGTTTGTGTGATGAACACGAGCATTTATACTCCAGTCATGGATGTTTAATATGTTTTTCTATATAAATATACTATTACAAATAATTTATTATATATACATTAATATATACAGGAACAATGAACCTTAAACTAAAAACCTTAAAAAATATAATATAATAACTAAAAGGAGGCCCCTTTAGGCAAGGTTCCGAAGATACAGCGGACGGGGGGCGGTACGGTGGGCATTAGGCCGCGTACTCAGCCCCCACGCGCGGGCCTACCCGCGCATGTCTGCGGGGTCCCCGTGATACCCCGGGATGCCCCTGCCGTGGAGCCCCGGCTAGGCCGGGAGGCTGCTGGGTGCGGAGACGCGGAAGAATCCCTAAACGGGGATCCCGCGGCTTCGTGCCATGCAGCTTAGAGGGTATTCGCAGGACTTTTTTAGCGGATATTATACCGTAAAGCGCGTAAGAGTTGCGGGGTCCTCGGTGGGCAGCCACTGTGGGGTTCGTAAGACTTGCGGGAGCCAGGTGTGAGGTCCGTTCGGCGGTGTGCCTCTTAAAGGCGCCGTCGTCTGTAAATAGATTTTTTACCTGCGTATTAAAAAAAAAAAGGTTCCGAAGATACTGGCAGCGTTCCCCCTTTGAATAGTTAGACTAATTCGTTGTCCGAGGTAGCTGCCAGCTCTTCGATCTCCAGTGAGGTCGACTAACCTTTTTGATATTTCCTTAAAAAACCTCATAGCGCTAGGACCCCACGGACCAAGGGTCTCGACACCGAATGGGACAAAATCATATTCGGAGCCTAGACCCCTGTATTTGCATGCTTTTGCTTAAATATACTTATATATGTACATTATATGTACTCTATCCGTTACCCTAGTATCCCATAACACAAGCCTTATAGTGTTTACTTTGGGGCTAGGCTAATTGGTGTGAGTGTTGGAAATATTTATTTATTTATAATTTGACGATGAATGTCTTCAGAATAATAATACATAATAAAACAAAAACAACACTCACACCAATTAGCCTAGTCCCAAAGTAAGCACTGTAGGATTGTGTTATTTTGTAATGATGATATGTGAAGACTTAATACTTAATAAATAAAACAAAATGGTGGCATACTAGGGGTTATCATCTACTTATTTCATTTTTGGTAATTACGTTGTCTTGCGAAACGTCAATATAAATCCACAACATCAATATAAATTTTCTTTAGATTTATATATCAAGCAGATTAATGAATAAAATAGAGGAGCTCGATGGCGCAAGTAGTTGGCGCGTTCGGCTGCGATCGTTGAAATCAAGCAACTTTCGCAGTTGTCGGTCATTGGATGGGTGACCAAAACTCTGCATCTGCAGTCGTCAGCACCCACTAATCCGCACTGGACCCGCGTGGTGGGTCAGGCCCAGTCTCTCTATTCCATCCATTGGGAAGGCCAGTGCCCCAGCAGTAGGGACATTAATAGGCTGATGATGACGAATGATTAAAATAAAAAATATAATAAACAATATAAATAATGTTTCATTAAATATCAAGAGAAGCGCCCTGTATAACAAAACAACATTGTTAAGACCACTACAATGCACATGGAAACCTCAATAGGTGTTTGGGCAATATTGTGTAAAAGTAATATAAGTACAAAACAACAAAAAAAAACTTTACTTTGGCAATCTGCTATTCTTTTGCGCGTACGTTTTGTTTGCAAAGTACCTATATCGTTATCATTTTAATACGCTAAGGGTAAATTATGAAGGTACAAGGTACCCCTTTTTAAGAAAATTTTGGGGAGAGTAGAGTGATTTTTTGCATCATTAAAGTTCAAAATGGAGCAAAACCTTTGATATATTAATGCATTCAAATACATAACATGGCACAAACAATGACTAATATATATTAATAATTGAATCATGGTCTGAAATTTTTAAAACGTCGAATTTCGACTATAAGTTGAGAACTATAATAGTATGTTTATATGTATTTCAGATTTTATTTTTTTTGAAGTTGCGATATTTTCAACTAACATTTTGCTTTGGTCGTCAGAACATATTACAATAGATACGAGTAAAAATCATTCATAAGTATGTACAGAAAGCAGCACGAGTTAATTTAACTAAAACTGTTAAAGTTATCTAACTGAGCTTGAACTTTATATGGTTTGTTACGAGATTCACAATCTATTGAGAACATTTGTTCAGTTTGTGGTGGTTGACGTGTGTCTGTTTTTATCACAAACTAAATAATCTGCTAATAAATAACTAAATAATCACAAAATAGACAGCGCAAGTGGTTCTTTGTTTCTTTCATGCCAATCCCATTTTTTAAGGTCTACTTGTGCCATAATAAGCTGGGTAAACCGTAGCATTGAATCGGGTTGCCGGTGCCCATGCTTTTGCACCACTAAATTTTCCATCAAAACATGACACGCTCGGTTTTCATGCATCGTCTACTCAAATCTAGGCCTTCGTTTTCATGTACACACTTCAACTAAACTTATGATACGATGACGACTGAATTTTGATGACATTTTTGTGTGACAGTTTACCTACTTCATAACTAACAAGCATGCTAACCATAAAAATTATATGAAAAAAATCTTCAAATACCGTATGTGCAACAAGACATTGAAAGTGACGTAGACTCAGTGACCCGCTCGGAACACCGCTACAGTCGCGCTCCACGGCCACACTAAAGACGCATGTCGCATCCATCCAGTCTGAGCCAAGCGCAGCTGCAACATGCTCGTCCCTCTCATCAGCATATTCTTCACGCTGACCAAGGTCAAAGGAGACCTTACCGAACTGCAGTACTTAAACGAACTGCCTCTAGACAAACTCCTAAGATTGAAATCATCACTGCAAGAGTTAGTGACTACATACGAGAATGTAACCACAACCCCGACGTATTCGCAGAGTTTCGGAGCGCAGGCATTGGCTTTGAACGCGCCCCCGCCGGTGAAAAGACTGGATTACGAAAGCCTGCATTACAAGAAAGAAGGTCAGAGCAAATTGAGTAAGCTGTTCACTGTATCAGTGACTGCTCTGGCTTTTTTAGCTTTTGGGGGCTATTTGCTGTGTCTGATCGTGCAAGCCGTGAAGGCTAAACAGAGCTATAATCCGTCGACGGTCAATCCAACTTTCCTCATAAGTGCTGGGATGAAAAAGAAGCCTCAGAGCCAGAGCCAATTTGCGTCGTACGGAAGAACGAAGAGGGATAACTATAGTTCGAATCGCGTAGATCTCCCAGCGGAACAAATGTTTGAGGTTCTATTGCAGTTGTGTGAAGGATACGCGAGGTGGAGTGAGCGGCATGCCAACATTGGTGGTGATTATTGAAACATTGTTTTGTTTCTCAAAAAGAGAATAGGGGTGATGACGGGGTACAGTAAACGAAATTCTATTTATTCCATCAGTTAGATGATAAAAAAATAATGGACACGTATTTTTTCTTTGGGCAATCAACCAAAAAATGAAAAAGTTATAGCGCGTCAAAGTTTGGGAGTAGGGGCTTGTGACGTCACTTTTTAGTGAATTTTCACTTACAATTGTACCAAAACGTGACGTCATGCGACTTTTCAAATCAATATATCTCTGCAATGTTTATATTATGTGAAAAAAGAAAAAATACGTGTCCAATAATTTTTGATAATCTACCTGATAAATGAAGAAAAAAAATAGTCATCATCCCTATTATAGTTGATGCAAATTCTCCTCTTTCATTGTGTTATCGTTACGCTTCGGACAAGTATATTTAAGTATTATATTTATGATATCTACTATCTATTCCATTAATTTTAAAATTATAGCAAAGTACTTTATAATTTTTAGCAACAGAGTCCTTTAAACGTTTAAAAAATTTGTAAGCACAAGAATCAGACAATATTTTTTTCAATTTCTGTTGACCATTAATCCGCTAGAATTTTATATGTACGATGGGACCAATTGATTCCTGTCCCATTTGCCCGATAATTCGCTTAAAATGTCAAAACAAACAGGTTTTCCTTTGAAATGAATGCGTAATTGCACTTAGGACCTTTTAAAAACAAGGAAACTGTGTTAATATGGATCAAATATATTTGATATGTATTTCTAATGCAGTATATTCCCTAAAGAAAATTTTACTAGAAAAAAATCCACGTAGACGAGACAGCAGACGGGACTCGAACCCGCACACTCCGCTATCCGGGTGGATGCATTGACCCTTATGCTCCCACACGGCCCTAACGGCCGTGTCGAATTTCTTCTAGTATTTCTTAGGCTGCAAGGCAGCGACATCCTTCGCATTGTAGGTAACCCATAATGTCAAACGCATATCTTTACAAGTATTAACATTTGGGTTAACAGTCCCGTCTGCTGCCTGTTCCGCGTGGGGTTTTTCGGTTATAAGCATAGTGCCTGAAATGTAAGATGCCACTGTTGCAACAATGCCTAAAAAGCAGACTGCCTAGAATCACTGCGTTACAAATTTTCAATAAAATTGAGTCCCGCCTTGAAATGTCCTGATTTTTTATTTATACGTATCGTTTAATAAACATACATACAAATTTTCTTTCCATCACGTCTCATTTTTTTTCCGCAAGAGAGTGCCATTTTATATTAGAAATTAAAACGTCAAAACATATTTTAAAGAAATCTTATAAATTCAACCAATTTTTTTTACTTTAATTAAGCCTAATTTTATCATTTAAGTAAAAAAAGTCAACAAAAATATTATCTATGAAATTTTTATAAAAAATATCGTGAAAATTCAACGTTTTCTTTTGTGTTTCGAATGATCTTCTCGTTTTAAACGAAAACAGTAATCACCTAACATAGTTGTGTCCCAACGGCCTTGAAATTGTTCTTCAAGCTTCTTTACATCCCGGTGAAACCTCTCACCCTGCTCATCACTAACCACACCAAGATTAGATGGAAAAAAAGAAAAATGGAATGAAGAAAGTGAATTTTTAATGACATTCTGCAACCCAACTTTTCGTATGCTTTTAACTTGTCGTTCACTAGCTGTTCCGCATTTTCGGCTCTGTGGTTCCCTTTTATAACTGCTTTCAGTGACAACAAGGCATCAAGTTCCGTATTAGTAAGCTTTTTGTCAAAATTTGGGTCGTTTATCAAAGTACGTATTTGTGGTCCCACAAATATTCCTTCTTTGAGTTTGGCGTCACTTAACTTTGAAAATACTGTCTTCAAATATAAAAAGCCATCTCCCTCTTTATTCATAACCTTCACAAAATTTTTCTTCAAACCAAGTTTTATGTGGAGTGGTGGTAAAATAACATTTTTAGGATCTATCAATGGTACATGTTTCACATTAGATTTTCCACATACAAACTCTGACCTTTCAGGCCATACTTTTGTAATGTAGTGTTTTTCTGTGGCTCTGCTGTCCCACATACAAAGAAAACAACAGTATTTAGTAAATCCGCCCTGTAATCCGAGCAAAATAGCTATAACTTTGAGATAAAGTGAGGGTTGTAGAAAATAATAATTGACATGTACCTCGAAAACTAGACGTGATGGATACCACATATTATGTTTGGAACATTTAATCTATGACTCATTACCTATTCATTCCAGCTAACAGTTAAGAGGGTACCAAAATCGTGTAACGCAGTGTAATAGATGCCACTATTCAATTCAATTCAACATTTATTGTAGACCATAATGGAGATACAAAGGTGGTAATTTTAACAGATAAAAAGTGCATTATGAACCCTGTGGGGTATCGCAATTGGAAGAGAAGAGGCCGTCTTATACATAATTCCTTATTGTGGCATAATTTGTTATATCAAATGAATTAAAACTCATGAAAATTATATATGTTTTTATAATAAAAATAATATAGTATTTATTATATTTATTACGTAGTAGTTTTATCATTTTTTTTAATTATTTATTGATATTTAAAGATTTCAAACTGACGGTTTACAGCAAACATTATAGTTACGATACATTGTAGGCAATCTGCTTCTTAGCCTATTGACGTGTTAGGCATTTTAGCAGCAGCGGCATCTTGAATTTTCTTTATATTTAAACATCTAGCAGTTAAATGCATAAGCTTATGGTGGATCAGGAATCAAATTGGCTGATTGTACTTACAGAAAATGTTACTAGCAAAATAAAAACAAAAAAATCTTGTGAAAATTTTCTCTTTTCGTCACCCCTTTGATTTCGTAGCTGGGAAAGAGATAATTTTGTGTCACAGACAATTTTATTTAGCTTTGACAGGGCAAGAGAAAGAGGTAAACGACAAATAACTCCCGGATCTCAGTCTAAATAGATTTAAGTTGTAACTAGGTACCTTACTGAATACATTATTAATATACTTTTCCCATTTGATGCATAAGTTAAGTTATATTTCGACTTATCTCAAATATTTCACAAAATAAGTAAATAATTCCAATCTTTTCCTTTAGACATGCACACTAACATAAAATTAGCTTCACGCCAATTGTCACTTGTACGGGAAGCAGACCGTAAAATAGATTAGATGAACCTACAACGGTATACTTTTTTTTATTAAGTACTTTATAGAGGATCCTCTATACCAATAGGTTTACGTTTGCGATATTTTTTCCCCTAACCTCTAATAAAGGAAAACATACATTGTTTTATTTACACGTATCGGAACATTTATGAACGCTTAAATGAAGATATTATTCTCCACGGCTATATGGATAGCGAGCAGGCGAGCAGCCACAAAGCACTATTTACATTAAAAGCAGGAAGCCAGATTGCCAGCAATATACCACGATCTGTAAACGTTTTCAAACTGTCAAATAATCGCTGTAACACCTAATAATAACAGCGTCTTCGCTTTAAAGATTCTATTGTGAGTCCCACTTAACTGAAGATTTGCTTCCTTCGCTTTCAAACAAGACTGAAACCAATTTCGTTGGAGTTACAGCCGGTTTTCGATTGTAAGTTGGCGGTTTTTTATGGTTTTCGGTTCTTCTGCGGGTTGGGCGCACTGTTTGTGGTATGTACGGTGGTAGGGTAACTGCCTTTTTGCGATTTGTAGGACGTCTGCACTTATCAAAATACATTATGCTAACACAACTATTTCATGATATACTAGATTAATTGATAAGACAATTAGTGTTTTGATAGTTGTACTATCTTAATTTTATGAAGCTTTTAAAAATTGTGAGTTTTTTTACCGGGGATTAAAATAATTCTTGATTTTATACGATACACAAAGGTCTTGTTATATTTATTAAGAGCAGTCCACTGCTTTGTTCTTAAAACTTAAAAAAATAGTAGAAAAACTCAAAGTATCACGCTGGCAGATACAAAGTAATTTAGTTTATTTTTGAATGTCAATATTATATTGTCATTCAAATCCATAAATTAATACTAAAAAATCGTACACAAATATTAGTGTATGATAATGAATTAGAGGTCATAGCACCCGTGACCTAAGGTTTAAGGTCGTCACCGTATTAACTCGGGCCGTTCAGTATTTTTTGTATGAATTTCCCTACTGCAACGCACACTAATCGAAATCGTAACGTAATCGCGTCGCCTCGGGGCAAGCAAAACCACGGTGCGGTGCGTGATCAACTTACAGTTCCCGCGTTTACGTCTCTCCGCGGCCTAGCTTACATCTCTCCGCCTACACCCCTCCTGGAGTCTTACGTTTGGATTCAAACTGATTAAACTGGTGCCGCTTAGCCTACAACCAGCGGACGGCGAGTCGTAAGCGTAGCGTCGGCATCCACTAGCCGTAGCCAATTCAACATACTGGAGTTATATTTTACTTTTACTTTTTTAAAGCATGTAACTGCCTGAAAGTATTACTAGAAAAAAATCCACGCAGACCAGGCAGAAGACGGGACTCGAATCCGCATCCTTCGCTATCCGGGCGAATGCACTGAATAATGACACTGGAGTTGATGATAGCTTACGTTACATTTTTATGTTAGGTGGACGCCTGTTTGACGGCAAGCGGAAAGGCGAGTCGGTATCGATTCGCTTCCAAATTAATATGTGTACTATCCTTAATACTGACTTCCACTACATTTTACTCAGTATTTATCTAAACTTATCAAAGTTCTGTAGGAAATGTGTTGTTTTCAACACACTAATGAAATATTCGTATTCAAAATTCAGTAGGCTAGAACTGTAAATTAAAGCTGTGGCTGGAGTGCCTATGTATGACAGCAAAAAAAAATATAGTTTTTTCCATCCCAGCAAAAATTCGGGACACATCCCTTGAAATGTCCAACACGTGGCGACGCTACTCCGTAATGAGGGCCGCTGGGTTC